CTTCTCGACGAGAGCCTGGATGCCGCCGCGCACGCATCTCGCAAGTACACAAATGCAGATCCGCGCCCGTGGCGCAGCTGTCTCCTGGCCCGCTGGACACGGCGGGCAAATCCTGCCCCCCTCGAGCGCGAGGGCGGAAGCGAGACAGCGCATATACTTGATGATGCGAATGTGGGTGGGTGGGGGTGGGGGGGAATTTTATCGCCCTGCTGCTGCTGTCTACTGCTGCGCGGGGCATGTCTAACGCGTCTAGACAGCTAGCTCTATAGACACGAGTCTAATGGTTCAGTCAACTGGCACCAGGGAATTTCTTAAAAGCTCACAGGCTTGCGGGCGAGCGCCCCTGACCCAAGCAAGCGAGCCAGCCGCGGCGCCGCCAAAAATCGTCGGACGAGGCCGGCGCGAAAGGGGCGGGGAGGGAAAAAAAGAAGGGGAGGGGGCAAGACTGCAGCGCCCGCGCCTGCACGGGCGCACAGCCGGACACTTCGCGCCAGCACTCGGCCTCCGGGCCCCCGAGAGGAGGAGGGGCAGGGGGGGGCGGAGAAGGGGGGGGGCAGCATGCAGGCGGGCAAGCAACGGGCCGCGGAGGGAGCGCGGCCGCGGGGCGCGAGCCACCCGACCCCGCCAGTTATTAGGCGCGCGCGCTGGGGCGGGGGCGGGAGGAATGGGGAAGTCCGCGCAGGCGGGGGCGGGCTGGCCGGCGCCCTTAGTCGTCGCCCCCGCCGGGCCAGCAGGCCCTGGCGCGGGCGGCCGCCCGCCGGCACAGCGCCGCCCCGGCCGCGCCGGCCATGCGCTGGTCCTGCCGCGAAATTCTGAGAACCCCAAACTGTCCTCATAGAAAAACAATGTTCTTATACTACAAGCCTGATGTGATAAAACAAGACAGACTCCGCCATGAATGCCCTGAGAACATTTCGTAGAAACCACGGGAGGTTCTTAGAACATTGTTTGGTAGGGCTATAGGCGAGCCAGGACGCTTCGCCACTGCTTGCATGCGGCGGCGCCGCCGCGCCCCGTCCAAGCACCCCCTCCGCCGGGCATGGTGGGTCGCACGTGCGCGGGAGGTGGATGTCGTCCGGGGGTGGGGCCGCCCGTAGGCCGGCCAGACTAAGGGCTGGTGCAGGATGTTCTGCCGTCTTGCGCTCGCACATGCCGGGGGCGCAATCTGGGCCGGCGTTGCGCGCGCCGGGAGAGGCGATCCCGATGTCGAGCGCGGTGGGCCCGTGCCCCAGCGCCACCGTGAGCACGTCCGCGGGCCGCGGGCGGGTGCCCGGGATGAGGTTCTGCGCCTCGAGCTCGGCGGCGGGGTCGCAGCTCTTGGAAGCCTCGTGCACCTGCCGTGCAAGCGCGCGGTGGCCCCTCGTAGCCTCGGCGCTGCTGCAGCAGAGCGCGCGCGAGCCCGCGGAGTCGAGCAGCTCCGCGCCGCAGAGGTTGCAGGGGATGGGCTCGCTGGGGCCGGCGGCGCCCTGCAGGTCGAGAAGGAGCCTTTTGTGTCGGCTCAGAGCCCGGGGCCACTCGCGGTTGGTGTCGGGGTGGCTGATGTCCTCCAAGCGGCGCGGCGCCCGCTTGTTGCCCGCCTGCGCGCGGCGCTCGCGAAGCTCCAGACGCGCCCGCGCGTCGAGGCGGGCCAGGATGGCCCTCTGGAGGTGGGCGCGGCCGCGGGGGGCAGCAGCGGCCGGGCGCTCGTCCTCGTCCTCGTCGAGGGGGGCGATGCCGCTGCCTATGCGCTGGGGCCGGCCGTTCTGTCTGGGAGCACCGTCGTTTGCGGGTGCGCCAGCGTCGAAGTGGCCGGCCCACCGTTCCTCGCACCGGTCGGCCTCGTCTGCGAGGAATTCCAGGAGCTGCCTTCCGGGGGTCGGAGGGATGGGGCCCCATCAGCGCGACCGCGGCCTTCGCTCCGCGCGCCTGTCGTTATAAGCCCCCATGACCGCGGCCGCGGTGCGCGGGCCGGCCAGGGCAAGGTGCTCGGCCATTTCGCGGACGCGCGGGCGGGAGCTCACGCACCTGGCGAGGACAGCGGCCGTGGACACGCGCTCCGCGGTGCGTGGGCCAAGGCCGCCCCGGGAGACTCCGGCGGCGGCTTGTTCCCAAGCGTCGTCTGGCAGGTCGCCGCCGACGATATTCTCCACTGCGGCGCACAGGTCTCTGTCAAGGGTAGCGAGCCCGTCGTGGCCGATCCTGTCACCGTCGAGGCGGAGCTGGTAGGAAAGTTCCGACACATCGGCGCACAGGCGGGTGAGGACGAGCTCGGTGGAGGCGTGGTTGACGTTGAGCAGCGCGAGGCGGGCTGCCCGGGCCTTCTCCGCGACCGCTTTGACCTCGTCGTCCAGCGCCTCTGCGGTGCCGAAGGGAGCGCCCAGGGCGAGCGCGGGGCCCCGTGGGTCGAGGACGTTGCAGGTAGCGCGCACGTAATCAGTGTCCCAACCGTCGTGGAGGTGGCGCTGCTCTGGCGAGCAGAGCAAGCGGCGGGAGCTTTTGGCCGTGCCCTCAGCGACAGAGCCGTGGGTGCCGCCAAAGCGAGCAAGGCTGGCGTCCAGTACCGTGTGCCAGGGGTCAAAGTCTGCTGGCTGGACGAAAACCTGCCCGTCGTCCACGTACCACTCCTCGCGCGCCCGCAGGCTGGCAGCGGCGGCACGGGCCGCGTCGGGGGCGCCCCCCGGGGCTGGCGCGGCTGCAGGGGCAACGGCGGCCGCCAGGGGCAACGGCGGGGGGCGCCAGGCCAGGAGTGGCGGGGGGCGGGCCCGGGCCGGCGGCGGGCGCCCCAGCGGGCGCGGGCGCAGCGGAGGCGAGGGCGGGCGCGCGCGCGGCCTCGAGTGTGAGCCCAGCCTGGACGGTGCCAAATCCGTCGCCCTGCTCGGCCCCGCGGTCGGTGTCGAAGAGTTAGCCAAAAGGCAGCTCGGTGGTGGAGGGCTCGCGGTGGTGCAATTCGTCCAAGCGGCGATCTCTGGGACGGCGCCCGGGTCCGGGAACACGGCCCGCAGCTTGTGCAAGTGTTTCTTGGTGAAGCGTGGAGGGCGCCGTCGCGCATGGCAGCGTGGAGGCGGTTCAGCGCGCGACGTAGGCTGGAGGCCTCGCGGCGGCGCGGCACGGAGTAAAGTTCCTTGAAGTGCTCTGGTCGCGTGCCCGTGGGACCCAGAGCAGTCAGCTTCGACAACCAGACGCCGTCGAGGGAGTTGTCGTTGGTTCCGTCCTGGTCGTTGTCGTCGTCGTGGTTGCTGTCGTGGGCGGCCGGCGCGGCTGAGTCGCCAGGCAGGCCGGCCGCCGCCGGGAGGGGCGGCGCCGGGACACCAGCGGCCCCGGGCGGGACGGCCTGCGGGTCGGGCGGCGTGGCGGGGGACCTCGGCTGGGCAGCGGCGAGGGCGAGGTCCGGGCGGCTGGTCCGAGGGAGGAGCTGACGGGCGTCGCGGAGGTCCTCCTCCGCGCTGGTTTGCAGGGTGTCGCTCGCGAGGTGAGGGCCGCCCTGCCTCTGGGGCCTTCGGTGGAGCTCCCTATGGGGCCACGCGTGTGAGGGGTGCGCCAAAATTAGGGTGGAGCTGCATGCGAACCCTGCCACTGAGGCCCGCGGTGGATCCCCTTCTGGGGCCACGAGCCGTGTGAGGGGTGCGCCGAAATGAGGGTGGAACTGCATGCGAACCCTGCCACTGAAGCATTCGGTGGAGCTCACTATGGGGCCAAGCGTGTGAGGGGTGCGCCGAAATGAGGGTGGAACTGCATGCGAACCCTGCCACCGGGGCCTTGGGTGGAGGCCCTTCTGGGGCCACGAACCGTGCGACAGGTGCGCCGAGATCAGGGTGGAACTGCATGCGACCCCTGCCACCGGGGCCTTCGGGCGAGCTCCCTGTGGGGCCACGAACCGTGTGAGGGGTGCGCCGAGATCAGGGTGGAACTGCATGCGAACCCTGCCACTGGGGCCTTCGGTGGAGCTCCCTATGGGGCCACGAGCCGTGTGAGAGCATGCAGGAATGGGCGGGGAACGATGACGATGATGGTGATTACGATGACGGTGACGAGTTTGATGATGATGATGATGATGCTGCTGCTGCTGCTGCTGATGATGATGATGATGATGATGATGATGTGGTGATGATGAGACGATGATGAGATGATGATGTTGATACGGCTGATGATGATAATGATGATGATGATAATGATGATGATGATGAAGCAAATGATGATGATGGATGATGATGATGATGATGATGATGATGATGATGATGATGATGATGATGATGATGATGATGATGCTGATGCTGATGCTGATGATGATGGTCATGGGAGGAGGGAGGAGGGGGAGGAGTGATGATGATAATGGTGATGGTGATGGTGATGGTGATGGCGATGATGCTGATGCTGATGCTGATGCTGATGCTGATGCTGATGCTGATGCTGCTGCTGCTGCTGCTGATGATGATGATGATGATGATGATGATGATGATGATGATGATGGAGGATGCTGATGCTGCTGCTGCTGCTGATGATGATGGTGGTGGGAGGAGGGAGGAGGGAGAGGAGGAAGGAGAGGAGAGATGGACGCGGGGCGCTCTCTTCAAAACGAGGATCCAACACAGGATGGTTGGGAAATGCCGACAGTAACAGGTCTTCCAAGCTTTTTCATATTCTTCCATGTGGATGCAAAGGGTTCATGCTTTTCCTGCTTTCCTGCTTTACTCTGTGCCGCCACTGCAGATCCCCCTATACTTAAAACCTTTTGTAAGGCCGCCACAAAGCGAATCCTTTCTGTTCAGGCTGCTATGCGAGAATTCTAATTGTGGAGGACACTGCACAACCTGCACAACAATCATGTTGTATGGTCGCCACACAAGGAATCCTTTTGTAAAGGCTGCTACAAAAAGGATTGTGAGTGTGGAGCATCTGCACCATCAGGAATTTTGATTCAATGCGGGGTTTAGAAACTGTAGAACATGAAGACAAGTACCAGGTTGTAATCCCACACATGGCGGGTCCTGCAGGGTACCCCCCGCCTGGCTGGGAGCGCGCGCCTCCCCCGCCGACGTGCACCGGCAGAAAACGCTGCTGTGCTCCGTGATGCCCTGGGGCGGACGCCGACGACGACGACGACGACGCTGCTGTGTTCCGTGGTGCCCTGGGGCGTCCTGCGACACCCGCGGGGTGGGCGGGCCGCGGGGGAAGCGGCGGCGGCGGGAGCGGCGGGACGGCAGGCTGCCTCACCGCCGACCGCGGGCGGGCATGCGCAGCCTCGTCGTCGTCGTCATCGTCGCCGTCGTCGTCGTCATCGTCAGCGTCGCGCGCCTGTAGGGGCTCCGGACCGCCGCTCATGCTGCAGCTGCCTCACTGCCCTCTGCCCGACGCTCTCGCAGACGCCGGTCCCATCCGCCTGCTCCATCCTTTTCCTTTATGGACAACCCCTCCCTGTCGCATCCCGATGCCACTCGGAAAAGCGAGATGGGCGTTTCACCAGAGATCTCCTTACCACTTATGATCCTGAAACTTACAAATTAGCAACCGCTTCACAAACGGAGGGCGGGCCGCTTCCAAAATGTGGGACTTCCCTCGGCGACGCGCATTCGTTTTCAACATTTGACAGAGCTTCACGGATTGAGGGCGGGTCGTTTTCAACATGTGGTTCTTACCTTGGCGCCGCGCGCACTCATATTTAAGATTGCCACAACTTCACGGATTGAGGGCGGTTCCTTTTCAAGATGTGGCTCTCGCCTCAGCGCCGCGCACATTCGTCTTAAACATTGGAATAGTTGTACAAATTGAAGGCGGCATTTCTTTGAAATGTAGCTCTCGCCTTGGCGCCGCGCACATTCATCGTAATATGTTGCAAGAGCTTCCCAGGAGGGCGGCTCCTTATCCAAATGTGGATATCGCTCTGGTGCCGCGCGCACTCGTTTTGAAAATTCGACGACGTGTCACGGATTGAAAAAAAGGAGGTCAGTTTCAACATGTGGTTCTCGCCTCAGCGCCGCGCACATTCGTCTAAACAAATTACAAGTGTTTCACGGATGCGCATGGCTGGAAAACCAGAAATGATGTCTTGGAACGGCCCAGGATTGTAAGGCGCAACGGTTACGTTGGTTCGCGGTGTTGAAATCCCAGGAATGGTGCTCTGACGCGAGTCAGGATCGTCAAGACGTAACAGTCAAGTCCCGAGAATTGTGTTTTAGCTCCGTTCAGGATCTTCAAACAGTTGCCTTCCAACGGGGCACTTCCCCCAGTGGAAATGAATCTTGGTGGGACCTATGAAGAAGGAGCTTCGAGAAAGGTTATTCCGACATCGTTGGTGAGTCCGGGGTTTACACCGGTCTTCCTCCTCCTCCTTACCACTGCTCCTTTTTTCCTGTGAATAACTCCTCCCTGTCGCACCCCGAGGCTAGTCGCTAAGGCGGGTCGGGCGTTTCGCTTGACACCTCGTCGCCATGCCATTCCTGATCCTGAAACGTCCAAACTGGCAACACCTTCGCACATGGAGATCGGGCCGCTTCCAAGCCGTGGCTGTCGCCTTGGCGCCGCGAGCATGGGTCTTTTTTTTGGGGGGGAGGGCCAGGGGCGCTCAAGGGGCCCCAGGAGTTCCATGCGGCACCACATGCAGACGACAAGCGACCACAGGCCCGCGGCAACCGTCCAACTGGAACAGTCACCCACCGCGGCAGGAACAGGGAGCAGTGAGCACAGCTGCCTCGGGAGACTCGCAACTGAGGAGGGCCCCCGCCCAGTCCCACAGTTCAACGCGAACGGCAGGCAGGCGCCTCACCTCGCGTCAGGAAATCAGTTACGTACGCCTGGAAAAGTCTCGGCCAAGCTTGGCCCAGACTCTGCGCGTCGCAGCATGCCGACGGGCAAGCACACGAAGACGGGCTTCAAAGTGTTGCTCGGGAGTTCCAGGGAGGCGAAGGCGGAAAGAGTGATGTGTACTTATGAAGGCATCGCAGGGCATAGCAGACAAAAGACAGCGGTCAGGACCCTTCTTCGGAAAAAGGAGGTACGAGTGGAGCCAGGGCAAGCCCTCAGAGGGGCTCGGAGTCAAAATGCCCATCCAGCGAGAGAAGAGGGAACGTAGGGGTTCGCAACGACACTAATGTTTGAGGTCGCCCAGATCCTCTGCGCACGAGGAACATCCCAAGAAGCATCCCCGAGGAGCCGTATGAAAACGTGAAGAGGTACAGAGGGAGCGGGACAGAAGCCGAAGAACCGCGAGAAGAAGATACATGTTGGTTCGGGTCGCTAACGAACGAAGCTTCGGCATCAATCGCACCACCTCCAGCCTCGGGGCTCCAGGAAGCCAAGCACAGAGACGCCGATAAAGAAGCTCGAGCGGAAGAGAGCGGGGGCGGTAGAACAGGGCGAGCTTTTGTACGCATTGCCTCTGAATATCAGGCCGAACATACTTAATGTCAAACTTCTGAGCGAAGATCCATTCCTGATAGGAATAGAGGGAGGTGAAGAACGCGTTCGGGACACGGCCAACAATTCGCCGAGCGGGGCACCAGTCGTCATCCGCAAAAATACTGGTAAACTCATTCCTGAGACGGCCAAGCTCGTTGCATCGGGCAATATATATCTATATATATATATATATATATATATATATCGCACGAGTGGCTGCCGCGATCTGCTCAAGATGAGGGAATTCAAGAGGGAGGCCAAACTGCTTCAAAGCGCTACACATGTCATATGAAATAGCGTTGTTAGGTCCCGCAGTCAGCAAACGAACACATGAGCGGCACGTGCCACTCAACGATTTGGAGGGAGGGAAGAGCTGGGCAACAAAATATACCAAAGATACACAGAAGGCTTGCAAAAATACAATAGACTGGGCAAACCCAAGGCCAAGATCGCGAATCTCCCGTGTACACTTGCTAAGCTTAACAATGACCTCCTTCCACGCCACTTCCTGAGCATCCCCCCCAATCCACATTCCCAGATACTTACGACGCGCGGCAACCTCGAGCTTTGGGACAGGGTCGCCAAGTTCTTCAAACAAGTCAAGCAATGGCTCGAGCAGGTTACTGTAGACAAAGAGAATCTGGCACTTCGGGAAGTTGAGGGAGAGGCCCATCGCATCTCTCAGGCAGCACAAACAGTCAAACAATGGGCCAACTCCATCGAACAGGCAGCGGAGGCCGAAGCACAGGTCATCGGCATACGCAAGCGTCAGCTCGATATGTCCTGGAATCTTCCAGGGTAGCCACCTAAGAACGGGTTCGATGGCCAGGACAAATAATAGCATAGAACTCGGGTCGCCCTGCCGAACACCCCGACACACAGGAAAGGAACCAAACTTGGACCCACCAAGGGTCGCCACCGCCTGATTATCAGAATACAGCGCCTCAAAGCAGGAAATGATGGCCGTCGGAGGTCCCATCTTTTCGAGAACAAAGAGCACCCACGGTATATGAATCGAAGGGAAAGCCGATTCAGAGTCAGTGAAAACCATCCCAGAGGTATAACGGTAGCGTAGATGATTCCGAAGGAGGTATTGTTCGGCTTCAAGGACATTCACAAGCATGCCCCCCCCCCCCCCCCCCACCACCACCACCACCACCACCACCACCCCCCACGAAAGCATTTCTGCGCAGGCCCAAGAAGCCCTCCCAGCGAGACCTCACTGGCGAGAACCCTCGCCATCGCAGCAGAGAGGACCCTGGCATCCGCGTTCACCATGCTCAGGGGGCGGGTAACTGAGGGACGACGAAAAACGCGTTCACCAACCTCCGACCCAAGGATCTTTTTGGGCAGAAAAACCAGAAGACTGGATTTCATGTCGGCGGGGATCTCACCACTGGTCGAGCGAAAAAGCTCACTATAGCAATCGTGCAAGATATTCGTAGCACAGTCCGCGCGCCAGGCAGAGTACGGGATCCCATCCTCCCCAGGCATACTATCCACCCTGCTGCGTATCAAGATCTTCCATTCCTCCTCACTCATCACCCAGCCTTCCCCCCGAAGAGTAGCAAGCGCATGCGGAGCAGGTACCTGCCCAATAGAAGGGATAAACTGCGAAAGCTGCGAAAGCCCATGCCGCATCGAACGATCTTCCTGCGGCTCCGCAAAGATGGCTTGCCAGTGTTGCTGCAAAGCCTGGGCAGCCTCCTCTTGCGTAACACTGGATTCGCCATTGGTATTGAGAGTCCCTTGGAGAAAAGTACGACGACGCATCTTGGCCCACAGGTCCCGACGACGACCAAGACGAGCTGTGGCACTGTCCAGAGTCTCAGGGGAGAGGAGGCGTTTGGCATGCAGAAGCTCTTGCTCTTCTGCATCAAGTAGGAGGAGATGCAAATTTTGAACGTGCTGGCAAAGAGAATCGACCGACATGGACGCCGTGAGTAAGGCCAGAGGGGAAATGAGATTGAAGCTGAGGGCAGGCACAGATAGCGACATCGATCGCAAAGGCGCCCCGTGATCTCCATCCACGCAAGGCCTGAAGGGCACGAAGATGCTTGCTTTCGAGCGAGTCGGCAGGACGCGCTCGAATCTGGGTTTAAACCTCCTCCGCCACTTCAAACATTAGGTCCTTCAGGGCCCGCAACTTACCCCACGGGTTCTCAAGCGAAAGATCCATCGTCGCACCATTGAGTAAGGTAGTGAAGGAGGGAGGTTTGGCGATCCAGCTAGGGATGCGCATCGGGGCCTCCTGCGGATTGAACGAAGACATCGCAATGACAACTGGAAGGTGGTCAGAGATCATGCTGGGTTGGAGACGGCCAAGCACCTCACCTCGGATAGTGAGGTCTGCGAGCAGCGGGGCTGGGAGCGTACTGTACACTCTGTCAAGCCGAGCGGTGTGAACCATCATGCCTTCCCCGACCTCTCTCCTGGCATCCTCCGACTGGTAAAGCTCCGCCCACCTCCCACATCTAGCGTTGAATAATGCAGAGTGCGCCTCGTCACCTCTCCCCCACCCAGTGCCGTCAGCGCGCAGGCGGCCTTCGGCAGAGAGAGCGAAATTCCAGTCGCCCAATACTATCGCGTGGCAAGAGGCTGCGGGAGGAAGACGTTCACAGAGAGAAGAAAGAGCTCTGCGATAAGTGCCGATCTGCTCATTGGTGTTAGGCATGTGCAC